CGCTACGTTTTGGGTGTTTGTCAAAGGGGGGGGGGGGTGTCCTTGGTGGATGGTGGTGCCGCAGGGATCGACAGGCCCAAGCAAAGGTCATCGTCTTGGTAACCTGGACCGCAAGAGGAGTGAGCGCCACACAACCGCGGCACACAGCACCCTCACACGCACGCACGCAGGGAGTACAATCACAAGAAAGGCTTCAAGTCCGTCTTCGACCGCGGCATCCTGCACGTCTACTTCAACTTCAGGAGGCAGCGCTACAGGCGATGACGAGGCGCCGACCTCCTACCATCCCAGAAGACCTGTGCTGCCCGGCCCCCCTCCTGCCCCTGCCTCTGCATGCCCGAGGCTCTCACACGGCATGGAAACTGAGGACGTGCACGGCATCAGCGCGCGCCCTTGGGCAAGATGAAAAGAATTGACCACGTCAGGTGGCGTCCGGCTCGCCCCCGCCCGCCGCCGCGTGGCAGCAGGCGGCGTGCCGGCAGACGGCAAGCAGGTTGGCCCGGATCTCCTGCTCGATGCGGGGCTGCACCAGTTGCACGGGGAGCCAGCGCTGCGGCCGGACGAATAGGGAGTAGGACAGGTGGGCGCGCGAGGTGTCCCGGGCCTGCATCCGCCACAGGCCCTTGAACACCTGTTGCTCGAGTGGTTTGGGAGGGGGGAGGGTTGGGCAGGGGTGGCGATGACACGGGAGTCCATGTACAGCCAGACAGTGCGCAATGGGCTCACAACAGCCGCTCCTGATAGGAGCCCAGCTCCCCCCTCTCCAAGCCCTACGAGTACCTGGAAATCGCCCTGCACCGACTCGAACACGATGTCGGCGTGCGGCGCAGCGGTCCCCATCTGCGAGCGCGGCGCAGGGAAGGAGGAGCCGTCTAGCGGCGCGGACCGGCCACGATCACCATTGCCAGCCCCGCTGCCGCCATTGGGTCCCAGCAGGCGGCCAGGGATGCCGTCGGGGTGCTCCCGGATGTTCAGCACGCACCGCGCCGTGAATTTGAAGCCCAGGGCCAGCTCCTGCTGCCCCACCTGGAGCAGTTTGCAGCCGTCGGGAAAGGACTCCAGCTCCTGGTTGACGGCCAGGCCTGGGAGAGGAAGACTTGGAGGTTGGGGATTTCAGGATGGGGGAGCACACGGTGGCTGGCGCTTACGGCCACGTCAGGCTCAAATTGCAAGACTGGCGACAGGTCCGAGTGCCGGCCTGGCCAGGGGTTCCCACAACAACGCACCCGGGATGAAGTCATTGAGGTGCTGGTAGTCGGTGAGCAGTCGCCAGAGGGTCTCCTTGGGGGCCGGCACGTCGGTGCTGGCGTAGATGCAGCGGGAGTTATTGCTGCCGGGCTCTATCTCCAGGCACAGGGCCCCGGCATCAAGGCCTGCGAGGGCGTCGCGCCCAGCCTTTGCGGGAGCCTCCTGGTGCTCGGCGCGGGGGACCTGCCACCTGCGTCCAGCAGCTCGAGCTCGCCCAGCGGGTGCTCTTTTAAACCATGACAAGCGAGATATGTGGCAGCTCTGAAGCTCTGCAGGGTGCAGAGCGCCCAACATGCCCCCAGAGAAGAGTGGGGTAACGGGGTTAAGAGGTGGTCGACAGGCCCGCGACGAAAGCCATGGGATCAGGACGGTGGGTGGTATATCGAAGTTGCGCTTGGATTCACTGAATGGTGAAGTGATGATTCTTGAACGTGCCCCCTGCTGGCGAGGCTGTGAACCGTCCATTCGGATCATGTGCTAGCGATCCGCGCGCGCTAAAGCACAACGACCGGAAGGCGCACCGAGACGAAAATACCATCGCAGCGGTCTGCGCCTGGCCCCCCGCCCATCTCCAGGAAGGCTAGATCCGCTTCAGGGACCGCACAGAAAATTTATATGCACTAGCCTCGGGACAGGGCAAGCCTGGTGACGATGGCCGCAGAGTCCACGAGTGCCGTAGGGCCTGCATCCGACCCGAGCCCGGCTGTGAGCGTGCAAGCCTTTTGGAAAGGTACTGGATCGTTACTGGCAACAAAGGGAGGGCTCTGCTCGCTGAGAATGGGACAGATCTCCATGATCACGTGTGGCTCCTCCCTGGACTCCTGGTGCAGAGTTTGATCTGGATGGTTTGCGCACACAGCTCGACGGGCAGGCCATGGCCCTGGCAGAGGCACAGGAAGCCTCCCTTAGGAGCCGAAAGGAGCTGGCTGGGAACACAAAAGGTATGGGGGTTGGGCGCCCCAACTGCACTGCCGAGACTTTGTGCTGGAGTGAGAAGTCAACTGGGAGGTCTTGCCGCGTGCGAACAGACTCTGGCATCTATTTTCATCAGAGAGTACGTCACCAAGCTCCCTGTCAAACACAATTTTCTGCAGAGCTGAGGAAGAAGCTTCCCCCAGAGGTTTCCAAGGAGGTTGGCCCTTTGCTGCGGGCCTACCAGGAGGAGATCGACAGGCTCACCAACAGGTGTGATGAGACCTTCATGTCAACACCTCATTTTCTGGTACCAGAGACTGCAAAACATGCACTTAAACCCGGACTCTCTAGCATAAAGGCCCTCTACTCCCTTACAACTCCTCCCAATGCTGCAGGGCCAAGACTGGCGAATCCGCTTTCCTCGAGTTGTACCAGCGCCTGTATGATGCTCCCGACCCCACTCCCTCGCTCGCGCTTGGAGTGGTGAGGTCCTCAGAGGGAGGCATGCTTGAGCGCTGTCCAGCATTTAATGACCGTGGAGAATCTTGAAGAGCATCGATGCTGTCGTGGCGGTGTTTTGCTGCCTTAACCTGTCAGTCGTGCCAAGAATCCCTTTCCCTCACCCGTCACAAACAGGAGCTGGCGTCCAAATGCACAGCCGCTGAAGCACGGGCCAACCGCCTGGCTCAGGAGCTGGCAGAGTATAAGGAAGAGAGCTCAGCGCTGCGGAACCAGGACCTTACCATCCGGCGATTGGAGGAGAAGGTCCGGAGTCTGGAGGCCCAGGTTGAAGAAAAGGTGAGGAGCACTCAAGAGATGGCTTGGGAGCGGGATGAAGGGATGCTGCTCAGAATGAGGACTCTTGCTGGGATGGTGAAGACATTGGACATTCTTGGTGCGTTGCTTGCCCAAAGTTTCCAGGAGCACAATCAAGAATCTGCCCGCTTGCCTGTCCACCTGCATTGTATTTAAAGCTGCCCCAACCCTCCTGGAACTGCCCCAGGACCGACAAGTGAAAGAGAGCAAGCGCAGCGCCGCAGAAGAGGCACAAGAAGCGATCGTCGCCGAGATGCGCCAGCGTGAAGAAAGGCTTGCCGACGAGCTGGCACAGGTGGGATGTCCCGATGGGGGCCAGCGCAGGGCAGGATTGGCCTGCCGTTCTGCATTGGTCCCGCCCCTGGCAGGCCAGGACTCTGGGATGCTGGGGGGAAGATCCTCGACAAATCCCTGTACTCCGCTGTCTTCTCCTTCCAGGCCCAGGCCAGCGTGGAGGCCATGCGGCGGCTGCACCAGGCCTCCCAGACCCAGGTCATGACCATGCAGTCTCGCAGCGAGGAGGAGCAGGTACTGATGGGGTGTGTGAGTGAAGGGAAGAAGAGTCGGGGATCATGCTAGGAATTTGAGCGCCGTGTGTCGAGAGGGTGGACTGCCATGCGTTGGAGCCCTGGTTGGGTGCAAGGGGCGCTTGGTGTATTTCTATACCAGAGGGAGTGCCCAGGGCCACCACATGATGCCAATATCGTCAGTAGCTTGCCCACTGTCTGCGTCCGTCAGGTGAACCTTCGATCCGAGCTGGACCTGGCCGTGGAGGAGATGGAGAGGGCGCAGGCCAGGCTGGCGCTGCTGGAAAAGGAGCACGAAGCCATGCTCGAGAAGGTGGATGCCTGGATCTGTGTCGTGGGGCGGGCCTGGTCGAGGCCTTGCAGCTTGCACGACGGCCTGGGAGCTGCAGCCGGGGGTTGTACCGGTGGCGCGCCATCCAGAATCCTTTTCACCCTCGCAGCCCTCAACGCCCTGCCAGCAGGCACAGGGAGAGCGGAGTGGCGAGGGATCGAGCGCCCCTGAGCCCGTCGACCGCTCGGGAACGGAGGAGGCCCTGCGGCAGGAGCTGTACGTCCAGCGGGAGCTTGCGGGGCGCCTGGCCTCCGAAGTGAGCGGGGGACATGGGGGTTGGTGTACCACGAGGGCCGGCTGTCGGGACGAGCGTGCAGTGTCTGTGCAACGACCACGCGCGCCAGGGCCCACTGGGGTCTTTGGGAGGGGGTTGCTGGTGGCGCGCGGGTCAGGTGACCCTGCGGGCACCGGTTGCTTGGGTGCTCGCTGCAATGCTATTCCCCGGCAGGGCTCTCCTCCGACGTGCAGACGACCGACGCCGACCTCCGCACGCCCTCCTCCACAGCTGCGGGCTGCCAGGGAGGAGCTGGCTCAGTCCGGCGCGGCCGCCGACTCAAAGCTGGAGGGGGTGCGGGCTCTGCTGGAGGCCCAGAGCAGCCAGAGCGCGGCTCTGGAGGCCGCTCTGGCTTCCAGGCCGACGCAGGAAGAGGTGGGGCCTGGTGGGCAGGGCCGACTGGGTGGGCAGGGAGGGTCCTAGATCCCGCGAAATGATGGCCTGGATGCTGTGGTGTGGTTGTGGAATGCAGCACTCTAGGTACCCCAGGCACAGGGTCTCAGAACATTCAAAACCTTCCCCACCCGTTGGGAAGCTCGTGCCTGGCTGGCCCCAGTGGTCAAACCTGCCCGACCCATGCACCGTCATGCAGCACCCACTTCCCTCCTCCCCTCTCACCGCAAGGTGGCCGAGCTGCGGCAGCAGGTGCGCCTGCTCCAGACCCTGGGCTACGGAGAGAGCGCGGGTGCAGAGGGCCTGGACGGCGTGACGGCCGCGCTGGCGGAGCGCAGCCGGCGGCTGGAGCACGAGCTCACCCTGGCGCGGCTGGCGGCCACCCAGGCGCAGAGTGGGTGGTGCTTGTGCTATTGGGGGGGGTGAGAAGGCTCTAGGGTGGGGCATGTTGAGGACGGGAGGGGTGGGGTGAGAGCAGGCTGCACATGGGCTCTGCTCCACCGCGTGCACCGCAAGTCCTGTCACATGCCTGGAGGCACCCAGCCCCTCAAAGCCGTGCCACCCCAACTCCTCAGGCGCGAGCGACGCGGCCGAGGCGCAGGCGGCTTCCTTGGCGTCCGAGCTGGAAGCCGCGCAGCAGCTGGCTGGCCGCCTGGAGGAGGACCTGGTGCTGGCGCAGCGCCAGGTGGCGGCCTCTGGGTCGGGGCCCGCGGAGCAGGGGCCCGACGGCGGCCCGGGCGCCGGCCCCGATCCTGGCGCCGCCGCGGGCGGCGGCAGGGAAGGCGAGGCGCCCTCCATGCTGGCGGTGATGAGCGGGCAGCGGGACCGCTTCCGTGCGCGCGTGCGCGAGCTGGAGGAGCACCTGCTCGTGCAGACGCAGCAGCTGGCACGGGTGGGAGCGTGTGGGGCGGCTCGGGCGTGGTTCGACTGGATGCATGCAGGAGGGGGAGCTGTGCTCCCTGCGGACTGGCTGGGTCGCACTAGGGTTTGCGGAGCACGCATGACAGCGATGCACAGACTCCACCCCCGGCGACCCTGAGCGCTCCCGGGTGCAGGAGTTGGGCCCTGGCGCCCCCGGCCTTTCGCGCCTGCCATGCCCTCCCCCCCTCTTCATTATGACGCGCTCTCATCCACAACGCCAGGCTGGGAACGATCTGGAGGCGGCGAGGGCCGACAACCTGGCGCTCGCGGAGCGGCTCAAGTATGTCCAGGTGCGTCGGGCGTCAACTTCAGGCGGGGCGTTTGCAGGACACTCTGAGGGAGTGTGGGCGGGAGCAAGGCCCCCCCCCGGGGGGGAAGGGCGGGGGGGGGGGACATTTATTGCAAGGCATCACTGCCCCAAAGATGAAACAACCCTGTCCCCGAGCCACCGCCGCGCCCGGCCTGCAGAGCTATGGCCGGGTCCAGGCCGAGGGGGACGTGGAGAGCGGGGCGGACGCGGTGGGGCGGTACATGAAGCAGTACGAGGACGGCGTCAACCCCTTCAACGGTGGGTCAGCAGCGGGAGGGCCCAGATGTCGCCCGGAGAGGAGGTGCCCTGGCGCAGCACACGACCCTGCTGCTTGCCTGCTGCATCCGAAACCTGTCATGCCTGCTGCCCCACGCCGCCCACTCCTCATCCGTCAACCTTTCCCCTTCTCTCCATCTCCTCCCAGCGTTCCGAGCCAAGGAGAGGACGGCGGCGACGCGGGGCATGCCGCTGACAGAGCGCGCCGCGTACCGCATCGGGGCGGTGGTGGCGGGGTCGCGTACTGCCAGGTCGGCGCTGATGGCCTACGCCCTGGTCCTCCACTGCGTCATCTTCCTCGTCCTGGCCAGGTGGGCTGCCGCTGCAGCGAGTGGGAGCGCCTGATGCGTGGGCTGGGATCGAGGAACGCCTGCGGAGGGCGGCGGGTTGAGGGGCCCGCCGGCAGCGCATGGGGTGGGTGCACTGGCTGCGCCCTCGTCTGCGCTTCACCAAGGACCAACCCCCCCCCCCCCCATCGCCGCCTGCAGGTCCGCGCACAAGGACATGTCGGCCATGACCTCGATAGAGGCGTCCTGCAGCAAGCTGGCGGCCGCGCAGGCCCTGAACGCGGCCGTGCCCGCCCTGAACGCCACCGCGACGGGGGATGTGCTGAGGGCTGTGGACCCAGTCACGGGGGCGCAGGGCAGGCGCCTGCTGGGGGCGCTGCTCGCCCTCGTGAGGGGCCGGTGAGGAGCTGCGATGCTGCAGGGCCTTCGGCTCAGAACTGTTCCGGTGACGTCCCTCCCCGCCCCTTGAGGAACACTGAACTGGAGCTCTGGGAGGGTGCAGATCACTGTTATACTACATGGGTGCACCAGACAGGCTGGGGGCGCTGCAGGCAGCCCGCCCTGGCACAGACACTGTCTTCAGCCCTGCTGCGCCTGGGTGCCGCCTCACGCGTCTGTCACCAGGAAGTCTGAGGGCAGCTCGATCTTCTTGCCCAGCTCAAAAGCGGGGAGGCCGCGGTACGGGCAGCCGCCGCAGCGGTAGGCGTCCCCCAGCGCACACTGCGTGGGCGGGTTGTGGTGTTGATGACACTTATTCGTGGGCAAGTCCAGTCGGGGAGGCCCACCCACCAGCAGCCCCCCCGCCCTCGAGGCCACGCCCACTCACACTCCCACAGCCGGAGGTCGGCTTCTCCAGCATGGCCTTGGTCAGCTTGACCGGCTCGGTAGCCTCGGCACGTCCACATGTGCAGTTCTTGCACGCTTTGCTCGCTGCGGGGCCGCAACCCGCCGCTGCGGATTGCACAAGATGGAGTGGCAGGGATGGATGGGGGTGAGTGATCTTACAGAAAACGCCAACCTCACAAAACCCAGCTGCAGTCCGACCTCACCTGCTGGTGCAGGGCGAACGAGGTCCTCTGCTGTGAGCAGCTGCTCATCGTCGATGATGTCATCGTCCTCGTCGTCAACGCTCAGCTTCCAGGCAGGTGCGGCCTGAACTGCAGCCGGCTTCTTCCTGAGGGAGATTGCGGCTCTCGCGCCGGTCTCCCATGCCGGCTTGGAAGAGACGACGCTGTCCAGGGGGCCTGCTGATGCAGTGCCCAGGCCAGCTAGGGTGAGATTCTTCTGGAGTCCAGCTGGAGACGCACCCTGCCAGCAATGAGGAGGGGGCACATTGCTCCCTGAGTTCAGTGGATGGAATACATCATCGTCCGCTCCACCAAACGGTTTCGAAGAAATTGACTCACCGGCTCAGAAACTACAAGCGCCCCTCCAGGTCTCAGACAGAGTGCAAGCCTGCCCAGGTAGGCAAGGCTGTGTTCCCCAGACGTGCTAGCAACCGAGACGACCGTGTCAAATGCGCTCGCGGGGAGAGCTTTGTCCTCCAGCTTCGTCGCCTGAGTGACTAGCTTGAGACTAGACACAGCTAATGCATGCGCTGCAGCAATCTCCTGTACGAAGGCCGTGTCGACAATTGTTCCTGTCACAGCGAGGAGCGCCATGTCAGACTGGGACGTCTCTAAGTCCTTGCTCTTAGCAGGGCACGCTTGCTAATGTATGAGTCCGCTGATTAAGCCTTTCAGTTATTGTTTTGTTGTAGTCTGTTCAAGAATGTGGTCGCATATGGGGAGAAAACACAAGCAGAATGCACGACGCTTCTCAAAAGTTTCTCGATTTCCAATCATCACCTTGCAGGAGGTCCTGGGTGCCAGTGCAGCCTGGGGAGCAAGCCAAGGTACGAACTCCCAGCTGGTGCTCGGTGGGATTCTCAGATCCCTGGAAGTCAGGTGCGTGCCCGCGTGTTCGGCACTGTTGACGAGCAGGAGATGGGGTGCAGACCGGCCATCACCGTGCCTTACTTCCCTGGCACCATCCTGCCGAGGGACCTGGGGTCGATGCTTTCTCCCCTTGTCTGCATTACACAGAAACTACTGGACAATCCAGGAGTCCTCATCCCTCCCTCCCCCATGCCTGGGCCTGTAGTGACGGTGCCGTCGCTTCCTGTTCAGGGAGGTTGCCAGCGAGTGGGCGGCCATGATGAGGGGCGGGGACAGGAGGCGCAGTCCGCGGCGCGAGGACAGGAGGATGCCCTACGGACCTGGTCCGATGGGGGACAGGAGGCGTCCGCGCAGCCCCAGTCCCGACAGGTATCGCCGGGACCGCTCACCGCCCTACGAAAAGCGGTTCCGTGGCGATGAGTACGACAGGTGAAGCCCCACGGCCGTGCCTGGCTCTTCCTGTCGTAGCATGGTGGTTGGAGTCTGTTTCACTGCGCAGGGCCCGGCGTAGCGTGAGAGCCAGAGGGGGGTGTGACCATCGCAGCATGCTGGCAGGTTCAAAGTGGCTGGATCACCAGGGTGACGCGTGCACATGTCCCCACGCCCCCTGGTGCAGAGGCGTGGGTGGCGGCCGCGGACGACGCGGGGGCTACGCCCGTGGCCCGGAGGATCGTCGCCGCACCGGCCGTGACGAGCCCGTCAGCTTCCGCGAGTTTGCCCTGTCCCTGGACGACAGCGTGGGTGTGGAGGAGGCCGGGGTGCAGTACAAGCAGTACCTCGCCGACTTCTGGGGTGGATCCGTCAAGGCCGAGTTCGAGCAGCGCAAGAACGACCCCAGGTGTGGCGAGGCTCGAAGGGGGATGGGGAGGCCGCGATTGTCGAGACGCTGCGCCTGCAGGGCCCAATGCCTGGCGTGTGCACGTCCTTGCATCCATACTCGCTCCGAAAGCATTCACCCGGGCTTCTCTCCGCCGTTGCCCGACAGCCTGCGCCAGCAGTTTGACCCCCGCGAGCTGCGCAAGGCCCTGGAGCAGCGGTGGGAGGCGGTCCGCGCCGCGGCCGCGGCCTTCGCCAAGCAAGGGCCGCACGCCGACCTGGACAGCCTGGGCCCCGGGCCGACTGGGTGGAGGGGCAGGCTGGCGGGCGAGGCCGGCGACGCGCGTGCCCGGCAGCCGCCGCCCCCGCCCCCGCCCCCCGCCCCGGCGGCCGCCGCGAGCCCCTCCCTGGCCGCCGCAGACCTCGAGCTGGCGACGGCGCTCGTCGCCAAGCTGGACGCCGAGGCGGGGGTGGGCGCCGGGGGCGACGATCCCGCACACCCCAGCGGCGACCACGCCACCCCAGCCGCCGCCGAGGCCGGGAACGCGGGGCCAGAGGCTGGCGCGGGGCCTGCGAGCTCCGGCGCCGCCGAGGCGGGGGATGCTGTGGCGGCACCAGACCCCGAGGCCGTCGCCACCGACGCCTCGCCCGCCCCTGGCCCCGCTGCCACAGGGGCGGCCGGCGAGGGCGTGTTGGAGAGGTTGGACGCCGCCCGGCGGTACCTCTGGGCCGTGCACGGCCTGGACTTTTATGGCGCGCGCGAGCTGGGCGACGCGCCGGAGGAGGCGAGACGGGCGGCGCGCCTGACGCAGCGCCGCGAGGCGGCGGCCCCGCCCGCGCCCGCGTCACGCGGGGAGCCCGAGGCCGCGGAGCCGAGCGCCGCCGACAGCGGCGAGGAGGCCGCAGCGGATGCGCCGGCGCCGGACGACACCCCTCCAGCGCCGGCCGTTTCGGAGGCCCGGGACGGGTCTGAGGCCGGCGCGCCCGGCGCGGCAGAGGCCCAGGCCTTCCAGGGCCGCCTGCACAGGCACTGGCAGCACCGGCTGGACCACGGCGAGGCCGCGCAGGCCGCCATGCGGGAGGAGTACGTGGAGGCCGGCGTGACCCAGTTCATCGAGGATGCCATCGTCAAGCACGAGGACAATAAGTGGGGCAACAAGGTGGGCTGTGACACGGCGGTATGCTTTGCTTTGCGATGGTGTGTCGGAAGAGAGGGGAGGGAAAGGCAGGCAGGCCTGTGCACGGGGAAAAGGGTGCATTGGGTGAGACTGGAAATGGGGGGATGCCCGCTCCCTGGCTGGGCATAGGGTCTCGGGTGGTGGGAGGAGCACCCCTGTGTCTCATGCCGTGTGCCATCTGTCAAACGCCCCTTCACCCCCCCCCCCCCCTTTCCCTTCCAGCTCTCCGCCAAGCTGTTTGTGGCGCGGGAGTTTGTGGAGAAGCACATCCGTAACAAGCACGCGCACGTGCTGGCAGGCGGAGCGGGAGCGCCTCCAGGACATCGTTTACTGGGAGAACTTCCAGTGCGTGTGGGAGGAGGGACAGGGGAGTCGCCCAGGATGTCCAGGGGGGATGGCTTGCCGTGGCGTCAGTGGGGCCCACATGGCACGGAGGGGAGTACAGCTGATCGTGCTGAACGCGTGCCGGGACCCAACCCCCGCCTCTGAGCCCGCATTGATATTCGGTTCCAGCCCGCTGACGTGTGCTTGCCGCCCCTTCCTCGACGCCAGGTCGTTCAAGCAGGAGGAGAAGCGGCGGCGGGAGGAAGCCCGGGGCGCCGGCCGACAGAGGGGGCCCCAAGGGGCCCGAGGGATGGGCAGGTGCGGGGGACGGAATGTAGGGTGTTTGGAGTGGGAGAGGGGGTTGAGGGGTTCCTTCGGAGGAGCAGGGGATATCCCCCAACCATCTGGTATAGGAAGCACACAGCTCGTTTGAGCCCCGAGGTTCTGGTGACGAGACACAATGCCAGTGCACGCCTCCTCGACTGTCTGGGCCCCCCTCTTGTGTCCAGGCCACGGGGAGGCGGGCGACATGGGCCGGAAGGCGGCCATATGGTCTTCGACCAGGGCATGGTCATGGGTCCCGGTGGGCCAGGCATGCTCGTGCCCAGGCTGATGATGCCGGGGGCGGGAGGAGCCATGCCCCCCGTGATCATGGCCCCCATGAACATGGTGCTGGGCCACATGGGGGCGGGCGGGCGCGGCGGCGGACGAGGTGAGGTGCAGATGCGTGGCGCGGGGCGGCGCTGGGTCACTGGGTCCAGGGTGTGGCAGTGGGCCTGGTCGGCGGGGGCGAGCATGGGGGTGCCAGTCGGGCGTCCGACCCTGATGCATCTGCGATGGGTCAGCCCTCGATCCATGCCCCTCCCCCCGCCCTTCATTCCCAGGAGGCAACCGCGGCGGGAGGGGCGGAGGCGGCCGTGGAGGTTTCAATGGCGGCCCCATCTTCATGGCCCCAGGGTCTGGAGGCAAGCCCGGGGGCCCAGCTCCGAACCAGGAGTACTTCGACCTCGACGCCCCGAAGAACAACCGGGCCGTGCTCGACTATGGTGACCTGTGAGCCGGCACCTGTTCTGTGATACGGATGCAAACATGACACGGCACGCTGTCGGAAGGGTGCATCATCACTTGCAATGGCCGTGAAGGCCCCTCGGGGAGGTCCTGGGCATCAGGCCAACAGGGCCACTAATCGACCAGTTCCGCACGCCCAGCACGACACGTACCCACCGCGGAACTCCGCTGTATGAGAGCGCGAGGTGAATGCCGGCACACGCTCCAACACGCAATTGCTCTTCAAGAATTCATGTCCAGGCCCTCATTCAAGGTGCCACGCCCTCACTGTCTGCAAAGTGGCTGTGGCCATCGCCTCTCAACTTCCGTGAGACATTCTGGTAGAGAGGCCTGGCTCGCAGATTCGCTTAGGACCATACCTAGACGGTGTCGGGGGTGCTAATCACGACACTGGCCTGAGCAGGGCCGTGGAAGCTCGGCGCGGGTGGGTGCAACTCCTTCGGGCCGGGAGTCATGCAGGCCGGAGAGTCCCTCCCCGGCACTTCCAGGGCCGGGGGGCTGCCCCCGCTCGCAGGTGGTTCCAGGAAGCCGAGCAAGCCCCTGGATGAGGTGAGGAGTGCCAGCGCGGCATGGAAGGATTCGTGCAAGCACCCCATGGCGCAGGGTGTTTGGTCAACAACCAGTCCTCCGCTCACCCCCCCTCCTCGCGCCAGACACTGCCTGCGGCAAGTGTGGCCCTGGCCTACCCGGATGCCCTCCCTGCCAAGAGGGTGGGAGGGCATGCCTGGAAGGTCTGGCTCGTGTGTGGCGACTGTTTCCTCATAGGTACGTTTGGGACTCTGCGGAGACCAGGATGTCCTAGGGACTGTGTCCTGGCAGGCTGTGCCTGCAAATTCAAGAGCAGAGATTTCCCTGAGAGGCAGCTGTGCTGTGTTGATCGTCAGCCTTACCCCCCCCCCCGGTTTTAGGCCTCGCTCCAGTACTGGTCCACCTGTCCAAGGACGCCGACGGCTCCTACGGATTCAACCCCATTGCCGTGAACCTGCTGGTGGAGGTGGTGAAGACCCTCTTTGCGCTGGGCACCCTCATCGCATACGTGAGCTCCTCCGCGTGCCTGGGTGGTGGGGGCAGTGTGCGTGTGTTTGATCTTGTCATGCCCCAGCGAGGGTGCATGCTGCGCAGTGTAGGGCTCTTGAAGTGGAGCGGCCATGGGAAGTGAATGTCCCTTGGCGGGGCGGGGTCCTGGGAGTCCAGGCTCTGCAGTCCCAGTCCTCTCCGCGGTAGCGCATCAGTCTCAGAGACTCGGCTCCGCAACGACCAGGCCCTCTTCCCAGTGTTGGTCGCCATACCCCTTTAGGTTTTCTGTTTGCCCGTCTGTTTCAACCCCTCCTACCTTGCTGTACTCCCGCCCTCTCCCTGACCACCACTCTTGAGCCACAACGACCCCCATAACCCGACCAACTCAACCCCTCCGCAGGGCACCGGGCGCCCAGGGATTCCCCTGACGCACAGCCTGGAATCTTTCGCGCGCGACGCGTCGCACAACCGCCTGCTGGCGGTGCCGGCGCTGCTGTACGCGGTGAACAACTACCTGAAGTTTGTCATGCAGCTCTACTTCAAGCCCACCACGGCAAAAATGCTGGGCAACTCCAAGATCCTGGTGATCGCAGTGCTGATGCGCAGCGTGCTGCGTCGCTCCTTCACCACCTTCCAGTGGGAGGCGCTGTTCCTGCTGGTCGCCGGCATCACCGTGAACCAGCTCAACTACTGCGCGGGTCAGGGGGTGGGGGGCATGGACGCCGTGACCCCGGCGGCCGTGGCCTTCACACTGTCCTCCATCACCATCCCCTCCCTGGCCTCCGTCTACAACGAGGCGGCGCTGAAGAGGCACATGGACACCTCCGTCCTGCTCCAGAACTTCTTCCTGTACTTTTACGGCGCCTGCTTCAACGCCGTCGGCCTGCTGGCGGTGGCGGGGGCGCAGGGCTCCGGCATCGGCCACCTCTTCCACGGCTTTGGCACGGTGAGGGGGGGTTAGGTTGGAGATGGGGGGGGGATGAGAGGGGATGGAGGGGTGGAGTGATGCCGGCAAGGAGGCTGGGAGGTTGCGGAGGGCTGAACGCTGTGCCTGGGGCGGGCGAGGGGACTGGCCGTGGCCAGATGAACCTGGGATAGATCTGACATAACATTCTAGTGTGCAGGGTGTGGGTTTGGAATGCCAGGGAGCCAGATAACCCTGTGGCGTGCCAACTTCCCCTGGGTGCCGTGCCAATTGGGCGGCGCCTCGCTGTCAAGAACTTGCAGGACTGTACTGCCCTTTGCCGGCAGGAACCTGCATCTTGAACAGTTTACCCTCCCCCTTCTCCACCCCTTCCCCTCTTCAGGTGACCCTCCTGCTGGTGGTTAACAACGCGCTTCAGGGCATCCTGTCCTCCTTCTTCTTCAAGTTTGCTGACACGATCCTGAAGAAGTACAGCAGCACCATTGCCACCATTTTCACGGGGATCATGAGCGCGGCCCTGTTCGGGCATGCCCTCACCCTCAACTTTTGCCTGGGCGTGTCCATCGTCTTCATCTCCATGCACATCTTCTTCAGCACGGGGGCGGGGAGCGCGGCCGCGCCCCGTGCCCAGCCCAACGCTGCTAAGCTCACGGTGGGGCGAGGGGCGATGGAGGGGGCTGGCAGGGAGGCAAGCTGTGATCATGTGGGGTCCTCCTCATTCGCTAGTTCATCGGAGAGCTAGGCGCTGTCGATCAGCGATGTGGATACATCGACCCAGCCTCGCCCTGTGCGCACCGCAGGTGTCGCCCAGCATGGACCATCTGGCACTGCGTGGACCGGAGGGGAAGGCGGTGGACCTGGTGACTGCGGCCGAGAGCGGAATGCACGGTCGCAGAATATCGCAGGCGGAGCCATTGCTTCCGCGATAACGTACTGTCTAAAATACTCGCGAAGGGCAACGGTCGGAGGGAGGGTAGATTCGCCGTCCGGTGACCGGGGCGTTCGAGGGGCCTCTCGGGAACATCGCCGGTGTGGGCTCGGGCTGAGCCCGCGTGTGCTACTGAGCAGCGTGAGGCATCATGCAGCTACTAAGCTGCTAGTGGACCCATCTTCTTTTGAGAATTATCGGGGCCAAGGGCGGCATTCCACTCCCCACCCCATCTGGCAATCTTCCGACCCCAAGGGTCACCAGGGCATCAGAATGCCTGTTCGGGTGACAGCGGCGCGATTGCATGCTAGCGCAATAAGCTGCCGGCGCCCGGCTGCATCACAGCTCCATTAAAGAGAGAACATACATACTCTCGTATGGAGCAACACAGGGCTCAGGCAGATGAATTCAACCACATGCCTGCCATGTCTGTGGTCCGACGAGCTCGCATGGTTACGTCACCAGCCTGGTAACCCTCGCCCCTCGTTGGCCGCTTGCGAGCTGAAAATCGGCTCTCAAACACATTTCATGCCTCGTGTGTCGCCGAGGAGCCAATGCTGCGGTCCTGAGACTGGTGCGACACGGGGGAGATCGGCCCGCTTGTGACCCCGGGTTGCCGTTGTAGGGATAGAAGCAGCCGGAACGGGCTGGGTTTCAAACCTCACCGACAAGGCAGGGCCTGCGCTCTTTTCGGATCGCTTGGAGGATCATCTCTCTTCTCTCTTACCACGCAGCACCTTGGTCCCTCTTCCCCTCGTTGGTCCAGAAATATTCAGGCCGTGCGCGCTCTCCCTTCCCGCTTCCTCCTCGTACCACTTTAACTCTGCCGAAGGGCGCGATTATTCATCTCTCTGCCTACGGAAAGCTGTCAGCACGCAATTTGGTTGTGGGAGTATGGCACGAGACACCCCCACGGTAACGGCTGGGGATCCGCGAATGCATGCCCGGCTGCTCAGGCTGCCAGCATGCTGGCAGGTGGATCGTGTCTCCACCCCCGTCCATCTCTCTCTCGACAGAGCACCTGAAATCTTCTCGGCCTGGCACATTTACCTGTGGACCGCGTGGGTGAAGGGAGCTGGGGGATGAATTGCCAATCCATTGGGGCAGCTGGCCCCAAAGCCTCTCAGCAGCCACAGACCCAGGGAAGCCCCCCGTCCGATGGCGTAACTTACACTGATTGGGCCGGGGTCCCATCTGCGCAGCTCTCAACAGGGCAAGGTGTGTGGAGGGAGTGACCAGGGAGCCCTAGGCTTGTCCCAGCTGCAAAGCAGCTTCCAGGGTGTCCTATCTGCAGCCCAGAGTGCTCCACCTCATCCAGGGCGCCTCCTCCTCGACCCCAACAGGCTCCTGGGCTAACGCCCCTGACATTGACGCCCAATCCCCTCTCAACTTCTTCACGGATGGTCAAGCGTATGGCCTGCAGGGGTATGGTCTCCCTACCCAGAGTCTACAGCTCCCCTCTCAGATGGAGGAGGCAGACAGGAATTCCGCGTCTGGTCCAGGCAACAAGACCCTGTACCTGGGTAAGTGCAGGGCATGAACAGTCTGGATCCAGGATCGTGAGCATGAGTTGATGGGGCATTCCCAGCAAGCCCCTACTCTGATGCATTTGCAGGGCTGTTCAGCTCACAGCCTCTCATCGCTCACCCCTGCAATCCGAAGTGCCAAGTACAGACATTCAACTTTGATACTCCAACTCCCCTTCCCCCTTTCAGGCAACTTGCACCCATTCATCTCGGAAGCCATGCTTCACGACGTTTTTGCTGGGTGTCGGGGCGTGCTGGAGCTCAAGATCATCAAGGACAAGGCCACCGGCATCCCGGCAGGCTATGGCTTTGCCAAGTTTGTAGGTGAGAGTGTTTAGCCGGGTTTGTGTAGAGCAGCGGCGCAGGCATCTGCTGGGCAGTGGTGCGTCTATGCTGATGCATGATGCCCTGACTCGACTGAGAGGCTGCCGCACACCCTGTATGTTGTTGAGGGGGTGCTGGGCCCACCTGCTCCAGGCAATGTTGTTGGGCACCCTGCCGACAGGGGCTCCATCCTCCCCACGGCACCGACCTTTCATCTCCAATTCCCCGTCGCCCGCAATCCACACCCCTGTCCGTTCGCCCACCCCCTCGCAGATGCCATTTCTGCTCAGGAGGGCCTGGATCTGGTGGGCAAGCCCGTCCTCTTTGGCCAGGAGGTCCGCATCAACTGGGCCTTCCAGAAGGAGCAGCGGGAGGAGCTCGGAAACCACGTACATGTCTTCGTGGGTGACCTGGCGGCTGACGTCACAGATGCCATGCTCGCGGCGGTGAGGGGCCCCTGGCTGTGGGTTGGACATGGCTGGGAGTGCGAGGGTGTGACTGTGAAATGGGCGGGACAGGGTGGATGGACTCGGGGTGCGGAGGGTTGAACTCGCTGCAGCGTGGGCGGGAGGAGTAGCGCCACCCCGCCGGCAAATGCCATGCTTGCCTGTTAATGAATGAGGAATGGAAGGGGTGACATCACAGGCAGCCGTGCCCCTTGCTCTTAGAAGTCGGCCATCACTGCAGCGAGACGGGGCTGCCTGCCATGAAATGACTCCCGCATCCATCTGCATGCCGCTCTGGCCTCTGCCTCACGCACTGCCTCAGCGCCCCCACCCTTCCATTCCCACCCATCAGTCCCCTGCACCGAGCGTTCATCAACCCTCCTCAACTCTCCAACTGCACAGGCGTTTGAGGTTTATCCTGGGTGCAGTGATGCCAGGGTGATGTGGGACCATGCCAGTGGGCGCTCCCGTGGGTATGGATTCGTGTCTTTTGCAACCAAGGCTCAGGCCGAGGCCGCCATCCAGGTGTGTGCTGCTGCGCCGGTCGCGTGGTTTCGTAGGTTATGTGTGTCGGGGATGGGGGGTGTCTGGGCATGGTTGGGGGCGACGGGCAAGTTTCCGTCCAGAGGACGGGTGGAGGGAGGTGGGGGTCCGCGTGTGAGAGGGGGGCGGAGTGCTGGTGCAGTGCCACTGGGCGCCCTGCTGGCTTGCCTCCCTGGAAGACCGCCTTCGTCCCAGGCGGCCCTTCTCACTTGAACACCACGCACCAAGGAAAGCATGGCCATCTCCGCAGGGCCAGCACGGGCAGACCATCGGCTCGCGGCGCGTGCGCTGCGGCTGGGCGCAGCACAAGGTGGGGGAGAGCGCGGCGCCGGTGGACGCGGCTGTGCTGGACCGCTCCGACCCCACCAACACCAATGTGTATGTGGGCAACCTGGACGTGGCGCTGACCGACTCCGAGATCCGGCGCCACTTCAGCAGCTTTGGCGCGCTGGCAGAGATGAAGCTGCATCGCAAGGGCGCGTATGGCTTCGTGCGGTTCCGCTCCCACGCCGACGCCGTGCGCGCCATCGTCGGCTCCAATGCCCAGGTGTGTGTTGTTTTTGGGGGGGAGGGGGGGGGGCGGTGGTGTAATGAGACCTTGGTGCACGTGTGTGACTCTGGTTTGAGAGGGGAACCGCAACTGCCTCAAACCCTGGGACCCCACAGTTCTCGCTCGCTCCCCACCCCACAAATGCCTGCAAGCCCAAACCAACCCTCAACACCCTTCCTGCCATAGCCGCTGGGCAGCAAGGTGCTCAAGTGCTCCTGGGGACGGCACCCCAGCCTACCCCCCTCCGGCCTGCACTCCCACCTGCTGCTGGCCACGGGCGCGGGGCTGAACCCCATGCTGCCCCTGGCCCTGTCGGCCCCCGCCCCAGGCATGGTGTCCGGTGGGCTGGGCTCCGGCCTGGTCAACCCCATGCTGCCGGCGCTGCCGTCGGCTATGAACCACTCCCTGCTCCCGCCCTACCAGCCCCCCGTGGTACACTACGGGGGGCTGGGCGGGCTGGACGGGGAGGGCTCCACCCAGCGCATGCTGGGCCTGCAGGGCGAGGGCGCCGGCGCCCCGGGCGGCGGCATGCCCCTGGGACCCGACCCCAGCCGCGAGGGCGGCGGGGGGGCAGGACAGCCCTACGCCGGCGGCGGCCAGCCCGGCCCCTCCCTCGGCGCTCCCGGCGCCTACAACCCAATGTTTTTCTATAGTTGATTGTACGTTCATGTCACCCTCTCTTTTGGGTGGCGCAGGCCCGCCCTTGACACATATGCCCTCCGTCCTCTCTCTCCATCATTCCCCCTTTCCCTCCCCCCCTTCCCCACTCCACCCCACCCCACCTGCGACGTAGATCCTCTGCTCCCTGCTCGATCCCTTTCCATCTGGATTGCAACGTGTCCCGCCGTCCCCTCCCCGAGCCCCGCCAAACCCCTCCCGGGGCGCTGAGTGCATGGGGCACGCCAACACCATGTCTATATGAGGCTGACTGCCGAGCTCTGATCCCATGCCATTGTTCTCTGCTCGCGGGGGCGGCGCAGTCCGGCCCCACACCCCACCCACCCGCGCCTCCCCACTCTCCGTTCCGCTCTCAGGCCCTCTGTCTCCCCGGGCTTGGGCACACATTGCACCCTTGTTCCACGCTGGGCCACAGCCAGCGGACGCCGGCTTGGTCCCCCTTTGCCCGTTTGCGAGGGGCCCAGCCCACCTGCGCCGGCCGCGACAGGGCTGCGCGTGGGAAGCATGGGAACCCCATGCACTCCCCCATCTCTCCTTTCCCTCATTCCAGCACTGGATCACAGATGGTTGAAGTTTGTCCACCCCCATGCCTCTTCGCATTCTTTCCGCGCTCGACGCGTCAGGCGTCGTGCGCCCGAGGCACGCAGGGCGGCGCTCTGGGTCGACCCAGCTGTGGGGCCGGTGCCACTGGTCCAGTATTTTCCAGCACAGCCTCCTTGAGTACTTGCACATTCAGATCAGGCTGAACGATTTTTCCTGCCACCATGGTATGCTTCCAGACATGTTATAGATGGCAGCCGGGACCCCGATTGAGATGTGCATGATGGAAGGGGGAAGTCCACAGCGAATTGCGCATGACTGTAGGGGAGGCCAAGGGATCCCACCATCGTGAAGGAGGAGGAAGTCAAGCACGCAACAGCATAAGGCTGTGTGCTATTGCCTGTACCGACTGGAGTCCGACAGGCGGTGGGGGGTGTCCTGAGGAAGGAGGAAGGACAGGTGGGGCCAGCTGCCGTGCTTCATGCTGATTCTCCACTCCCAACCTCATATCCCTGCAGTTTCAACCCGCCTGCCCGGCAAGGTCACCCACGCGCCCAGGAACCCGCGCCACTGCTTAAGGGATACCCAAATTGCATAGTGTGGTAAAACCAATGGTTATGTTGGGAATAAACGTTCATCCGCGCGCTCAGGCAGCTTCGCGAGGTGGCAACCCCTCGCAGGAGCTGTCCGGCAACAGCCGCCCCCTTGTCCTCCAGCATCGCAGTAGCGGGAGCCAGACGCGCGGGGCGAGGGAGCACCAACGTGGAACTCCCACCATGCAAAAACCCTCCAGGAGGCACCAGCGCGTGAGCGCCCAGGTTTCCCAGCCCCTCGCCCCCTCGACCTCTCACGATCCGTATGAGCGGCTCATGCAGGTGAGATCTCCCTGGAAAAAGCTCTGTGTAATGTTGGACTGCTGTGATCACGACTCTATATGGAGCGACGGGCACCCACTTGAGTTCTCCTCCTCTATCCAGGATGCTGAGGCTTTTCTGTGGAAGGATCTTGAACACCTCTTTGACGACCAAGGGATCGACAGCTCCCGTTATGAAGAGGCTGTGAACTTTTCAGACCCGATCTCCAAATTCTCCTCCCTGCGAGGTCGGTCCCTGCTGCCGGATCAGAATCATCTGGAACTAGTTGGGAGGTGGTGATATGCGTGGGGGGATCTCGTCCCTGGGACTCCCTCATTGGAACGGTGAGCTGAGGTCACAGGCAGCCCTCGTCCCCAGCTGGTTTTTCCAATCAGTAAGCAGGGCCAAGGCACCCCCCTCTCCCCGCGCCTCGCCACCAGACCATGCTCACCGCCACCCCCACCCCAGGCTACCTGGCGAACATTTCCTTCCTGCGAATCGCGCTGAGTCCCAAGTTCCACTTGCACGACATCAGGAGGACTGGACCCCTTGAGCTTACCACCCGATGGACGATGGACATGGAGTTGTCTTTCAATCGGTGGGTGGGTGCGACGTGGCTCGCCATAGCTGGGGATGAAAGTCAGGGGTCGGTTTGAGCTAGCAGGGTATTCCTTCCATCTCCCCAGCCTGCGTACCATCCCATTGCCTAGGTCGTCACCCTACTCCCTCATGCATGCATTGCACGAGGTGCCTCTGACGCTCCTCTGTACTCCCTACCTCCACAGGTTCAATCCCCTCAAGCCCTGGTACGACCCAAAGCCGGTCTTCACGGGCACCTCCATCATGACAGTGAACCCCGACACCGGTGAGGGGGCCAAGATGGGGCCGATGTGTCGCAGATGGGCGGCAGCTCAGCCTGAGATTGTGCTTGAAGCAGGCCTGGACGCCTATGCCCTGTATGCACACATGGGGGCTCCTGACTGAAGCCACTTCGCATGAGCTCTTGCCAGCCACCTACATGCCCATCCCCACCCCATGCAGGGAAATTCGTTTCCCACATCGATACCTGGGACGCGGTGAGCAACCAGTCCTACCTCTCGCTCGAGGCCGTGCGGCACCTCGCCAGCCAGGTGGGCGGGTGTCATGGGCTGGGAAGCACAGCGTGTGAGCATGCAGATTCCCCAGCCAGCCTGCCGCACCCTCGTCCCTCCCTGCTCCCCCAACCTCCCCAGGTGCTGACGCTGCGCCAGACCCCCCAGGATCTGACTACGCCCAGCTACCTGGTCCTGAAGAAGATGCCGCGGTACGAGATTCGACAGTACGAGGGCTTTACGGGGCTTGAGACACGGGCAGGCGAGGCCCAGGGCCAGGCCTTCCAGAAGCTGGCGGGGTACCTGGGCGGGAAGAACAGCCGGGGCAGGAAGCTGGCCATGACCACACCCGTGCTCACGGATGATAAGGGCGGCATGCAATTCGTTGTGGGCGCAGACGAGGCTGTGAGTGGGGGGGGGAGGTGGGGACGCCATGATTTGAAAGTTCGGGTGGTGTTGGCAGGGGGGCATGGGCGCAGGCCTCATGGCAACGTGCATGACGCGCTCCTCTGGGCCGCATATCCTCTGCATGCCATCCCTGACCCGCATCCCACGCCAGGGCGAGGATGGGAGGGACCTGCCGCAGGCATCGGACGAGTCCATTCGCGTGACGGGCAGCCCTCCCCAGATCCAGGGTGTGGCCACCTTTTCCGGCGCGGCCAACCAGACTCTGGCGGCGGCCAAGGCTGCCGAACTGAGGAATATCCTGCGAGAAGACGGCCATACTCCGGCTGACGCGACCTCGTGGCAGCTCGCGCAGTACAACTCCCCTCTCGTGCCGGGGTTCCTGCGCAGGAATGAGGTGCTGATATCCCTGAGCGACTACAAACTCTGGTAGCTGGCTTGAGGGGCTGGTGTGGATGTATGCTTGATTCTTTCGTGAAGGTGTCACCTGCTCGCCAGTAACACCTTTGATTGTAAGACAATGTCCAATGTGTCCATGCACGAGCGCTTGCAAGCCTTTGCACAGTTATAGTGACAATTACCAATAGGGAAGAAAGGGGGCAGCAGGGACTACTGGGTCGCCTGGCAGGAGTACGACAAGGGGCAGGTTCAGAGCAAATGTGTGTGTGCGCAGGCAGGCAGCAGGGGAGGGTGAGTGTCACGATGAGGGGACGGCCAGGGGGGGATGACCGTGCCTTAGAGGACAAGCTTGAGGACGACACGCTGACGAGGGAGGCTATGAGATTGGCAAGCAAGATACGAACCAGTGCTTGGGGCTATTGATGCGTGCGTGTCCTCATGTGCGCGCCCAGGCACCGCATGCAGTTGCCCAGGTGGTCCCACAGGCAGCGCTGGCCGGCGGGGGAGATGTAGTGCGACACGAGGTCGTGCACCCTGCAGCCATTGAAGTTGAACCTGTGGCGTGGAGGGGCCTGGGGGTTCTGGGGCATGGGGGAGGAAAGAGCAGCCAGGGTGCTCCGTGTGGCTGGAGGCTTGTGTATTCACTGTGACGAGGCACAGGATGTGGCCACGCTTCCGTCATACATGGGAGATCCTGCAAGCCCCGCCGGGTGCAGCCAGGCCGTGCACATACAGCCACCGCCCCCCATCTATTCTTCTGCATTACACCCCATCCCCCGCCCTCCCACCATCCAATCACCGAGCCCCCTCACCTCTCGTCTCGCTCGTAGTTGATCACCCCGCCCTCGTCCGCTGCCACGCGCTCCACCCACTCCCCCACCGCCACGTCCTCCAGCTTGAACAGGGGCGGGCGCACGAGGCGCTCGACGCCGCGCGCCAGGTCGGCGCTGAGCACGTAGCCCGCGCCGTGCGCCCAGGGTGGGTAGCGATCGCCGGGCCACTCCTCAGGCGTGACGTGCCAGCGGGAGTGGGGATCACGGTGCGGGCCGCCGCCTGGCCTCTCCACGAAGCCCAGGAAGAGGCGTTCGGCGGGCGCGGCACGGATGCGGTCCAGCAGCGGCGCCACGCGCACGTAGGAGTCGTCGTCGGCCTTGAGCACGTGCGTGGCCGCCCGGTCGTGGGCCGCGGCGCGCAAGGCCGCCAGCGTTTGGTGCGTGATGTTGAAGTAGGACTCGGCGACGTTGCGGAGGAGGGTCACATCGCCGTGGCGCGCGACCTCGGCCTCCACCTGAAGAGAGGGAAGAGGGGGGGAGGGGAGTGCCAGAGTGTGGGGAAAGCAGGCGGGGCGGAGGAATATTCTGGCTTTGTGTTTCTTCACAGAACAGCAGCAAAGACCACATTCGCCTTGGGCCTCACCATCCCGGGCCCTGCCGTGCCCCGCAGCCCCCACGTGCCACACACACCTGCTGCAGCGTGGCCGGATCGGCCGGCGCGGCGAGAAAGAAGCGGACGGCGTGCAGCGCGGGGTGGGAGCCCCAGGTGGCTCGGATCGCGTCGCGCCGCGCTTGCTCCGCGCCCTTGGATAGGACGCCCACGAAGAGGACCACGTCGTCCGGGGGGGCGGCGTCGCCCGCCGCCTCGCTCACTCCCGCCGCCTCGCCCGCCCCCGCCGCCTCGCCACCGACGCCGGGCAGGCCGGGGTCGCAGCCGGCCGCAGCGGCGGCCGCGGCGGCCACCAGCCCCGCGTCGAAGGCCGTGCTCCAGCAGGCACAGGCGGAGGAGACGAATGAGGAGGCGGCGTGGCAGCACATGTCCCGGAAGGCGGGGCTGGGGGCCTCACAGATGGGGCGCCGCACCATGGCACCCCACCGCCTGCAGGAGGCGAAGTCTGGGAGGTCGAACACGCTGCGCACCCGGCGACATGGTCGCTGCGGGGGCAGATCCAGGCCCAGAGACAGGTGTGTGAGCAGGAGCAGGGCCGCGGCGAGGCTGGGTGCCCTCCAACGCGTCGGCATGCTCGCTGCCGCGACGGGCGCCCTCGACTATCGAACCTGACGAAGTCTCATCGGCCTGCGCCTCGCGCGCTAGACACCATGCTCAACTCTTGCAATGGACTATCCCTATGTTTAAGCATGAAAGGCAAATCTAGACAGCATTGCGTCATGTCAGATCGGGCACTGGTGTAACGCGCCTTGTAAGCAAGGTTTTCATAACAGGCAGTATCCTCCGAGGTACTGCTTCGCGCGCGCACCCTCCTCCGGCGGAATGCACGGCCCTTTCCGTGGCCGGCATCTCAGTCTCGGCACATCGATACTACACCAGAGTCAGCATTGATAGTAGCGTGAAAAGCCTGTAGGGGATACGACGCTCTCCAAATCTCTGCCCGCCGCGCATGCCAGTGAGCCTTCTCGTTTGGCGCACACCCAGCCAGCATGTATCTCATGTACTACACCGCCGAGGACGGCACACGCTCTTACACCCTGAAGGTGCGGGTGCGAGGTGCTGGGCATGGAGAAAGATTGGTCAAACTCTACCGGGGCGCAGCAGTCTCGTGGGTTTAGCTCTGACAGTCGTGCATCCTCTCCTCACACAGAAGCTCGATCCCAAAGGTGTGCCAACAGCCTCCGCGCACCCCGCCCGCTTCTCCCCGGACGACAAGTTCTCCCGTGAGCGCATCACCACCAAGAGGAGGTTCAAGCTGCTCCCCACCCAGGGTCCTGCTCACGAGTACTGAGCTTGAGGCACCGCTATGAGCAAGCTGTGCCACGCGTCAGGGCGTGAATCGGCCGACAGCTTTGCTCTTCCTGCATAAATTATTACTTTACCGAGACTGCGACTCAATTGCCAGTCTCAGGCCATGGAGGCTGACGGGATACTTTTCCCTCACTCTCCACTTGGAGGGGTGATGAGACTTCCCACCGCATCCAGGCATGGTCCCTGATGCAACTCCTGGGCCTCCCCATGTATCCTGATTTCCTCCTCTGTAAGCTTTGCCTCTTGCATGCACAAGGACCAGGTGCACGATCGCAGGGTCATCGGCAGCTTGGCTTGCCTCCTAGGAGCTTACTCTCTGCGGCCACCCCACAGGCCATCACGCCTTGCTCACGTTGTAGCCCAGCGCCTTGACAAAGGCAGCCAGCCACTTGGGGTGCCCGGGCCAGGCAGGGGACGTGATGAGGTTGCCCTGGACGACCACCTCCGTGGCCTCCACCTCACTGAACTCGCCCCCCGCCAGCCGGACCTCTGGGGCCACGGCGGGGTAGGCAGTGGAGGTGCGACCCTTCAGCACCCCAGCAGCGCTCAGGATCTGGATGCCGTGGCAGATGGCCGCCACAGGGGCGTCGCGCTCGAAGAAGTGGCGCACGATCTGCAGGACCTGGGGGTTGAGGCGCAGGTATTCCGGAGCTCTCCCACTGCACAGGTTGGAGAAGCAAGGACCATTTGTTTTCACACAGACCAGCCATGCAGAAAGGGCATGAATGACCATGCGATGCATTCCTGAAGCTATCCAGCTCGTGAGCATAGTGGCAGAACGGTGGACGAAGGGGCGGCACTGTCGTGCTCCTGGGCACATGGCATCGCACCAGGATGGCATGCTCCCAAGACCCAGCATGTCTGCCCATGCCTTTCGGCCCAGCCTACCCGGGGATGACCAGGCCATCGTAGGTGTCAAGCCTGGTGAGGGCCTCGTCGAAATCGAAGTTCAGTGTAAAGTTGTGGCCGCGCTTCTCGGTGTACGTTTGATCCCCCTGCCGAGCCAAGTGGCGTGTGCTGAGAGTGAGAGGAAGCCTTTTTCCAAGATCAACACAATGCATTTCCAGGGACTCCCTTAGATTAGGGATGCACTCATCTACTATCAAAGCGCACCTCGAAGTCATGCACGGCGGTGCGAACGGTGTCTCCCCTTTTCTTGCCCGGGGTTACGGCGTCGACCTGGAACCCGAAGGCCTGGAGGGCCTGGAACGGTACGAACACCTGCAGAAAAAATGAAATATTCCTGGTGTTGGTTCTGTTGGCCAGACGGCAAGTACATGTGTACAGAAATATTGCGCTCGATCACTTGCGCACCTCCAGAACCTCCACGAAATCCCCGGCCAGAAGCAGGATCTTCGCCATCCTGCGCTGAATGTATCAGATCTTGGCCACTAAACTCGTCTAGATTGTACAAGCAATTGCAGGACGGGCCGTGTGAGTAAACGTATCACGCCCCTCGCATCCTCGTCGGATTAATCACCCCCACAAGAGAAGGCGCCAGTGGGTATGGTTTCCTCAGACATATGTGATGGGCCCGTCCAGGCTGCCTGACGCGAACTGGCGCACGATGGGCACGTCGCAGGCATCAAACTCCTTGACTGTGCCCTGCCAGACCACCTTGCCGTCATTCAGGAAGATGAGGCGGTCCACTGCACGCCGGATGGTGCTGTGCTGGTGCGTCACCACCTGCAGTTTTGGTATGGTGAAGTGGGACAGGAAGGGATTTGCAATCAAGCATGCATGCAGTGGTCCAGGAGGCTCAGGAGGCCAGGTGTGGGTCCGATTACAACCTGATCCCTGGTGCCTGGCCAGGTGATGGGCGACACGCCTCGCCGTCGAATTCTACCCGCAGTTCCCCTGGGGGCTTCTTCAGGACCGACGCTGGCAGGCATGGTCAGACCCTCCATCCCACCACCAAGTCATCCACCAAAATGCCAGAACCACCCCCTGGACCCACCATGTAGCTGGTGATGCCCCCCCGCGACCTCGCCGACGTTGGCGTGTGCATGCCGCGGATCAGGTCCTCCACCACCGTGGAGGCCACGGGGTCCAGCCCCGCCGTCGGCTCGTCGTACATGATGAGCTGGAAAGGGGGAACGGTGGATGAGGGTCAGGGGTTGCCATGACGCAGGGAGCGGGCTCATGCACCTGCATTTCCGAGGCCCTCATAAACTCCCTCTTTTCCTGCAGCGCCCACAGTGCTCACCTGCTCCGCCTGGGCGTGCTGGTCGTCCCGGATGATGGCCCGCGCCAGCGCCACGCGCTTCTTCATCCCCCCGGACAGCTCGGAGGGCATCAGGTTCTCCACGCCCCGCAGGCCCACCTTGCGCAGGGCCGCCGCCACCAGCTTCTGTGGAGCGGGGCGGGGTTCCATGGGTCAGGGAGAGCTCAGGCTGGGACTGTCAGGCGACCGCTTCCACCCCCTCCCATGAGCACCCCCCGGCGTCATCCCCCACCCTCTCCAGTATCCCCCCTTCCCACCTTGATGCGCGTCTTGGGCAGCTTGCTGTGCTCCAGGAGTAGGAAGCCCACGTTCTCGCCCACGGTGAGGGAGTCGAAGAGGGCGGCCGACTGGAAGACCAGGCCCATCACCAGCGCGCCGTCGCTGTCGGGCTGGTCGGCCATCAGGCCCACCCGCTCCACCCCCCGCACCAGCACCTGCCCCGCGTCGGGCTGCAGCAGGCCTGCGGCGATGCGCAGGGTGGTGCTCTTGCCCGTGCCGGAGCCGCCAATGATGCCCACGGCCTCGCCGCGGCGCACGCAGAAGCTAGCGCCGCGCAGGATGTGCTTGTCCCCGAACGACTTGTACACGTCCCGGAACTCGATCAGGGTTTCGGAGGCGGACTGGGCGGGGAGCAGGGGGATGTCCAGGGAGCCGGACACGGATCGGACGGGCGCTAGGTGGGGGTCTGGTGCCTGAGGAAGTTTGTGGGTGTGGAGGGGAGGGCAGGTGAACATGACGGTGCGGCACAGGAGCATGTAGGGAGATGGGCGCAGCTGGCTCTACGGTGTATCTAGGATGCACACCATCCATCAGCAGCGCTCACCCGATGTCCCAAGCCAGTGGAGAAGGGACTTCGGCCCTGACGCCGACTCAGGTGAGGGCAGACGGGCCCCACAATGCCGGAGGTTGAGGGCACCCTGGCAGATCCCTTCCGTGGCGTGGGTCGCGGTGTTGACATTTCCGAGGTTGGAGATCCATGGCTGAAGCCTGCGTGGGCCATGGGTGGCGCCTGTGCTCCTCAGTCGCTCCGCAAGAGCCCCTCCCACCCGAGGTGAGGGTGTGGGCAGTGGTGCCTCAGACCGTCGCCATTCCGCTGTGACACTTGGAAACTCACGATCGTAGGCTACGCCTTTCGGTAGACAATTGGCGGGGCTCAAGTATCATCTGTGCGTCGTGAGAGTTTTCGTATTCCACATCCACGTGATAACCATGCATGGCAGCGTTTGGGACCTTTCTCTCCACAACATACAGCCACTCACCAGCAACGCCACTGTCCTGCATGCCAGCATGATGAAAACATGAGCTTAATCCCAGGCTGACCCTCCCCAACAACACAATGGCATGCATGCGGTGCGTCGCGGGCTGGCATCGTGCCCGGCTATTCTCCGCTGGCCTTGTGCCACCCCCCCTCCGCCGCTCTGCTGCCCCCGCCTATGCGACACATGCTGCCTCCATCAGGCGGGAGCCAGGCCCTGCACCCCCAGCAGCCAGCGCCGAGGGCATGAAGGGCGGTTCACGGCCGGTCCGGCCCAAGACCTCCATCGGGTTCCGCGCCGGGCGCATCGCCGCGGACGGCTGGTCCAAGCTGCGCCCCCTGCGTCCCACCGGCAAGCCCGCGTCCGCTGTCTCCACGCAGCCTCAGGGTCCTGCGAGCAGCCCCGGGCCTGTCCGCCCCACTCCAGACCCCCCCTCCTCCTCGGGCCCCAACCCCCTCTCAGACCCCGGCCCCCTCTCAGGCCCCAGCGTGGTCCCCCGCGACCCGCGCCTGGTTGACGGCCCCTGGACCGACCTGGACGGCGAGGCAGTGCTGCGTGCGCAGCGCGACGCAGCGCGCCTGGCGCGGGAGTCCTCCCGCCACTCCCCAGGCCAGGTGTTGCTGGGCCGGCCCGCCGCCGAGCTGCGCGCGCTGGTGAGCGCGCTGGGCGCGCCGGCCTACCGCGCGGCCCAGCTGCGTGACGGCGTGCTGGCCGGCGCGCGGTCGCTGGAGGAGGTGCGCGGCCTGCCGGCCGCGCTGCGCGCCGCGCTGCGAGGGGCTGGAGTGCGCACGGGGCGGTCGACGCCGCGCGGCGCGGTGACGGCGCGGGACGGCACCGCCAAGCTCCTCCTCCAGCTGGCCGACGGGCGGGTGGTGGAGTGCGTGGGCATCCCCGAGGGCCCGCGCCTCACCGTCTGCGTCAGCTCCCAGGTGGGCTGCCCCATGCGCTGCACCTTCTGCGCCACGGGGAAGGGCGGCTTTGCGCGCAACCTGCTGCCCCACGAGATCCTGGACCAGGTGCTGGCGGTGGGCGAGCACTTTGGCCGCCGCCCCTCCAACGTCGTCTTCATGGGCATGGGCGAGCCCATGCTGAACCTGCCCTCGGTGCTGGCCGCGCTGCGCGCGCTGCGCGAGGACCTGGGCATGGGCGCGCGGCACCTGACCCTGAGCACCGTGGGCGTGCCGGGGACGCTGCGCCAGCTGGCAGCGCGGCGCCTCCAGGTCACACTGGCTGTGTCGCTGCATGCGCCCACCCAGGAGCTGAGGGAGCGCATCGTGCCCTCCGCCAGGGTCTACCCGCTCCAGGCCCTCATGGCCGACTGCACCAAGTACTTTGAGTGAGTGTAGGTCGGTTGGGTTGGGAGGCAGGTGGGGGAAAGGGAGCGCGTGAGAGGATGGGGGCGGGAGACGGGCATGAGAAGGGGTTCCCCAGGGGCGTCATGGCTCTAGAGCGTCGTAGACAATCTTGGGCCCTGACGGCGTCAACCCGTCGGCCGGTGCTGCCTGCCGCGCAATCACCAGCCGCTGTCCTCTTGATGCCCATCTCATACTCACATCGATTCCCCCTTTCTTCCCTCTTCTACAAACAGGGTGTCTGGGCGGAGGGTGTCCTTCGAGTACACGCTGATGGCGGGGGTGAACGACCAGCCGCAGCATGCCATCGAGCTGACGAGGCTGCTGCGCCAGCACCGCAGCATGAGGTGCCACGTCAACCTCATCCCCTGGAACGCCGTGGACGATGCAGGCGCGTGGATGATGGGGGCCTGGGGGGTTTTAGGGGATGGGCCGGGGGTTGGGCGGAGGCAAGGCGTGTGGGTGATGCACCTGGATACTGTTTTATCAGAAGCCCATCGAGAGGGAGGGGCTGGCTGGCTCGAGCCCTCCTCGCCACCCAGCCGGAAAGACACATTTCAGCAAGATCGAAACCACCTCTTCCACCTCCCTCCGCTTCAATCCAAGCAGAGTTCAAGAGCCCCAGCAGGGAGGCCGTGGAGATCTTCAAGTCCATCTTGGAGGAGCGGAGGGTGCCCGTCAGCGTGCGGATCACGCGAGGCCTGGAGGCGGCGGCTGCCTGCGGCCAGCTGCGCAACATGTACCAGAAGACGCCGCTGCAGGAGTTTGAGGTGCCCGCATGAGATGGGACTGTCTAATTGTCGGTCCTATGAAGTGCAAGCATCTGCAGGGCAATGTAGATTTTCCGTGACCCCTTCCGGAATGACGGGGTCCGCAGGTTGGCACAGCGAGTACTATTTGACGATGGGGCATGCGAGTTTCGATTCAAGCGATGTGCTATCCCATGATCTTATTCATTTATCAGAGAGATTAGGGGTATTAAATGGCGCATTGGGGCTAGGTGATCATCGTCTCGGTGCTCTTGCGCCACGAGGAGAGAAGAGGTTGCCACTGCCGAAAGATCCCGGCATCGAGGGCCTCCCTCGCCATGGCAGCGCGCGACTTGACCCTGCACATATCCTCCAAGCTGGCCGGGGAATGGAGCGCCCCAAACGTGGCCGGCATGCTCACCGCCCCCGTCCTGGAGTATCTGGTGTCCAAGTGGTCCGACCTGGACACCATGGTGAAGACCCGCCTCCTCCTGGCCCCCCTGGCCATGAAGGGGGCCAGCCTGGAGGAGCTCCGGCCCCAGCTTCAGGCCATGGTCGAGGCCGGCGTGGCTGACAAGTGCGCTGTGCTACCTAGGTGGCCGCCTCTTGGGGTTCTGTGGGATGCAGGGGTTCCCCCGCGTATGGAGGCTGACGGGCAGTGCTGGCCTTCCCATCCCCCTCCATGTCCAGGGACGAATGGGTGAGGGTCATGGCGCTGGCCGTCGGGCCATACGATGGGCGCATCCACCTGGGCGCCGTGGCCGCCGATTTCAAGCTCGTGAGGCGCAGGGAGAGGTCTGGAGGTGGTCGGCCTTGGTGGGCAAGGGGAGCGACGGAGGGCTGAGCCAGACCATTCACTCTTTTTCGCTCTCTCCATGCCGCAGGTGGGCAAGACGCTTGACGAGCTGGTGAGTGGCCTGCGCGAAGCCGACCCCCTGCTGTATCGGCCCCAGGAGGTGGGCAGCAGGTCTGAGAGATAGGGAGGGGTGTCGGCGACGAGGGGGATCGTGCAAGGGTCCAGTATGTAAGAGGACCTTGGTGGGGAGGAAGCGTGCACGAACAGCTTGGCAAGGCAAGCAGCATGGCGGGGCGCATGGGGCAGTGCTGTTCTAACCCCAACCCAGCATGCTGCCGCCCTGCCTGCCCCAGGGCAGCCTAATCTTCTCATGGCGACGGCTGCAGCAGAGCCCCCCACCCACCCCGCCGTCCCGCCGCCGCAGGAGCTGTACCTGCACCCTGACCTGGTGAGGGAGCGGCAGGGCGTCGCCTCCCCAGCGCCGGTCCTGCCGCACCGCCACTTCCGGGCGCGGCCGCGCTCGGAGGCCCCCACGGCGGGGCAGGGCCTGCCCTCCTCCGCGGCCCCCGGCCTGCGCCCGCCCGGCGCCGCCATCGCGCCGGGCGGCTCCCGCGCCGGCGCCACCGGACCGCGCTCGCTGCCCCGCCCCGCCGCCGACATCTTCATCAGCCGGCCCGCGCCTACGGCACGGCCGCGCGCGGGGCTGGCGGGGGCGGGGGCCGCCCAGGTCCGACGCACTGCCACGCTGGACATCGCCGCCGTGGCCGCGCTGAACCAGCAGGCCGCTGCGGAGCGGGAGCGCAAGGCGCAGGTGTGAGTCTCGGGTGTTTTCTCTTTTTTGGGGGGGGGGTGGAGATGGAGGTCTCTGCGTGGGTTGGAATGGACATGACCGGTTGGTGGCCTCAATGCCCTTCCCGCCCTGCTGTCCTGGGCCTGGATGGGCAGCAGAGAAACACCCTCTGAGCGCCGGCCTGCGTGGCCACCTCCATCCACCTGCAGGCGGAGAGGGAGGCCAAGGAGGCCCTGGCGCGACGACGAGCCGAGGAGCGCGCCGCGGAGCGTGCCGCAGCGAAAGCTGAGAAGGATGCTGCGAGGCTGGCGGCCAGGCGTGGCAAGGAGCCTGACGACCCGGGAAAGGGTCCCTCCCTAGGGGATGATGCGAGCGGCGCAGCCAAGTAGGCGGGGGTGAAGGGGAGGCCGGCTAGAAAACTGAGAGGATATTTTGTGGAGCACAATTCCTGGGTGTTGTCGCGCCCTGTGTCACATTGCATGTTCACACATGGCAGCGAAGAGCATGTGCTGAGCGGAGATATGTACACGCTTGGAGTGAGCTCAGGTGCAGGGTCTCAGTTCACAGCCAGATCCCAGTACCCTGGCCCTGCCACCACAGGAGGAAACGCAGCCCTGGAAAAGGGCCTGATGTGCTGGTAGCGGAAGTGGAAGCTTCAGGACTTGAACCTGGGAATCTCGTGCCAGGTGACACAGAAACCCCAGCACCCCAACCTGACTCACCTGTGCCCAAGTGTGCTGAGTCAGATGCAGAAAATTTGTGAAACAATACCATTCTTGGATGGGATTGGATGCAGCCATGAGTGAAAGAATGAGTCAAGAATCTACAGACACATTGCAGGTGCCCCACTTTGTGCGTCATGCCATGTCACATCTTCATATGTGCTTGGCAAGTACCAGATCATGCTTCCCTGCCCTACAGCTCTCGCTGGGAACCAGGGTGCACCTTCCCCCGGGCTCGCTCCAGCTCCGTCAGGAGCGAGGGTGCCCCATGGTCGCCCTCCCGTCCACGAAGGCTTACGAGGACGGCGCCTGCCGCCTGCATGCGATCCAGAGCGGCATGCACCGCCTCCGCGCTGATGCCGGCACAGCCGTCCAGGACGAGGAAGACCTGAAATCCCTCCTCCAGCGCATCCAGCACCGTGTAAAGGACGCAGTAGTCGGTGGCGACCCCCGCCACCACCAGCGTGGTCACCCGCCGCGCCCGCAGCAGCTCCACCAAGCCCGTCGGGTGCGTGTGGCCGAGGTCGAAGAGCCCACTGTAAGATTCAACGTCGGGCAGGGTGCCCTTGCGAACAGTGTGATCTAATCGATCTGTGGCCAGTCCGTCTGCACAGCGAGGGAAAGGGGCAGCAGTCTAGGCAGAGCCTGAAAGGGGGTAGCTGTATTTGGGGCCAGTGGCAAGAACTGACACCCGGCCGCCACTCTCACCAGGTGACTGGGCCCCTAAGCTGCCAGCTACGCAGTGACTGTTGAACAGGATGATGTTGTGGCAGCCGCCGGCACCGGCCTGGCCACTTGCCGCACACTGGTGGATCTGGTCCCCCAGCTGAACGCCTTTGTGGCTGCTCACGAACGAAATGTGGTCCTGGTGGGGTTTGGGAATGCGTGTGGTCCAGGTGCACTGTGATGACTGCAAGTGCAGGCACTGTATGGGCTGTGCAACTCACTGGAAACGTGCAAGCAGTGCCTCAGGCATGTCCCCGGGTCATCCCAGGTTTGGCACCTTGGGATGCCAGTCTGCGGTGGCGATGGCATGGTCTATCGGGCCATCCCCTCCTGCTAGCTCCAGGAGCTCATTCCAGATGGGGAGCAGGGCGAGTGCACCCCTGACAGGGACTATGTATGGAGTGAGGAGAATGTACGATACACACTGAGAGGGAGTATGAGATTGTAAGTCAGTGTGTGTAGCACTCCGGGATCTCGCTGGTGGTCCAGGGTCTCACCAGGGCCGTCGTCCATGAAGTCCCGCTGCACATCCACCAGAATCAGCGCGATTTTGCCTTGGACGTCATGTTCCACCGACAACCACTTTGCATACAGAGTTGCCAACAGTGTGGCAGCGCAGCCGATTGCTAGGAAGATGACGCGCATGGCTGTTCACCGGGTGTCAACTGTCCTGAGAAAGCCCTTGCCGGGGGCTGCCCATTGTGCTTGTGTCTGCAGCCACGCTTCCCTGTGTGGAGTTTTGTAGCCTCAAAGCAGCCGCAACGATTCAAAATATATCCATCTCGATCAATATTTTTGCAGTTTCCTGGGACAGACTTGTTGGGAATACCCTCGGATCATGAAAGTTAAATTGATAGGTGCGCAGTAACGGGCCAGCTGCCCATGCGCAGCTGGCCTTGCTAGCATGGGCGTACTCGTGTTTGGTCTCGCTGGCAGATTGGGGCTCATCTAAGGTTTACATAAGGCAAGCGACAGGGCTTGTGGGAGAGTCTTGGTAGATTTTGCAGTGGAGTGGGACTCCGAGCAAGCAAAATCTCACCCAATTTCGGGAGCAGACTCCTACTCCCACTACATGTGGTTTCGGAAGACACTCAGTCTCTGACACAGCTATTTCAGATCTTGTGACCCGAGGCCCATTTCCACCCTGACAGCAGCCAAGAGAGCTGGCTAGGACCTCGCTCGCGCACAGCGCGCAGTCCTACTTCGTGAAGCCGTTGTGCGCACGCCGGTGTCGGCTGATCCAATGTCATCCGCCGTACAGGACGTGCAGGCGTCTGCCCACGATAAGACGACAGAACTATGCGGCAAGCTAGCCTACCGAGGCCTGTCGACTCCATGCGGAGAAGTTGGAGACAGCTCTGGCACGCATCACAATTCTGGAGCAGAAGATGAAGGAGTGGGAATCCTGTGTCCCTGCGGCGCTGCCCGCAGAGGCTGCCGCCCTTCACAGCGTTCAAACCACGGCGACCTCCCCGACAATCGTCGCTGTGCCTGCCCTAAAGTCGAATGGGACGACACCATTGCTCATCCCTCCCGCCTTGTTAGCAGATCCAGACATGGGAACTCCTTTGCCTCGACTGCGGCGCAATCCACAATGCTACAAGGGTGATACAATCGCCAGAGACTTTGTGGACTGGGCTCTGCAGCTGCGGACTTGCATTCTCGCGGAGTCTCTCTCCTGCGCAGACCCCTGTCCTCCTGAGAGGAGCCCTCACGGTGCCCGCCGCCTACTGGTGGTTTCAGGAGGGACACCTTCACACGACCCTGCCCGAGGCCCTCGACGCCCTAGCAACAGGGTTTGTGGGAGAATCTCTGGCCCACATAGTGCAATGCGAGCTGGACGGGCTTCGCGAGACCGGAGGCATTCGCGAGTACATCCCCAGCTTCAAGGAGCTCCTCTGTGTCCTGCGCGAGCACGGCACGGAGAATGAGTGGTGCCATCGCTTCCAGGCCGGCCTCAAGTGCTCCTCCCTCCAGCAGTGCTGGCGGGTGGATCGGCGGCACATCCATCCAGCCATGCCAGCCCCTTCAGGCTGCCACATTGCGTCGCGCCCTTCTGCCCATGCTCCCGCCTCTCTTGAATCGCGGCAGGCGCTTGCCCGGGGGCCATGCGGACAGGCCTGGTAGATGCGGCACCGCGCGGCAGAGCTCGCACCTGCGCCTCAGATCTGCTTCTCTCAGCCCTGCACCTCAAGGACGCAAACTGCCGTCAGTGGTGACATCGTGCACTGGAAGCACACAACCCATGATCCACCGTTGTGCACCGTACCTCCTCCCTTCTTCCTCACTGTGTCCAGGGCGTGCCGACTTTTATGAAGGCCACTGCAACTCCCGCTCTCGTCCGCTCTCCAGCTCGTAGTCATGGCCGGCCAGGTCATTTTGAAAGTGCATCGCAGGCAGCGGGCCGCACCCTCGCCTCCAGCGCCCACCGGACCCTCAGCCCTGCCCCACATCCTCGCCGTACTCCAGGGCCACGAGCCGCGTGCCCATGAGCAGCTCCAGCGTGGAGTTCTGGCGGGGGATGCGGATCCGGCGGTCGCCCGGCGTGACCAGCACCAGCGAATGCGGCCGGCTGAGCGCCACAATGCCCGTCAGCCCAGCGGCGTCGGGGCGCGTGGCGCAGGCCTTCACCCTGACCAGAGCGCCGTGGACCTCGGCGCCCAGGAGCCGGTCGCGATAAGCCTGGAGGGTGACGCCGGGGTCGCGCGCAGCCAGCCTCTCCGCATACGCCCGCCACAGCGCGTGCACGGGGAGGAGGCCCAAGTACCTGCGGCGCAAGGTGGGGATTGAGGGGATTGGGGTTGGGGAGGTTGGAAGGTTGGGGGGCGCTGCGCCAGAAACAAGCATGCACGTGCAATGATTCCGGAGGAAGCGCTTGTCATGGACCAGCGCTCCACCGTCGCTGCCGGGGGCGCACAGCATCTGCTGACAGCGCTGAATCCCCCGTCCAACTTGTCCACCCCCAGGCATGCCCCTCGTGACAAACCCCTCTGGTGCAGCATGGCACCAGACTCTTTGACTCACGTGACGGTGGCCAGGGCGGCAGCGCTCAGCGTCCCACCCTGGCGCCTGGCGCACTTGGCTGTCTGCCGAGTGCCTCCACCTGGATTGGCAAGAGGGACAATAGGCGTTCTCGTCGGCAGAGACAATTGCAATTAGCCGAGCACTCCTGTGCAAAGTGCAGCAATGGCACCTCCATATACCTGTCCCACAGCCTCGGGATCCTGCATCACTCACCCTTTGACTTGGCCTTCACGGGGTTCTCCAGCAGGATGCTCTTGTCTTGCATTCGGAGGGAGTATGGCGCACTGGAGCGTGCGCCGTTCCCCGACACCAAGCCTCCGACACCTCGGCGCCCAGGAGCCGGTCGCGATAAGCCTGGAGGGTGACGCCGGGGTCGCGCGCAGCCAGCCTCTCCGCATACGCCCGCCACAGCGCGTGCACGGGGAGGAGGCCCAAGTACCTGCGGCGCAAGGTGGGGATTGAGGGGATTGGGGTTGGGGAGGTTGGAAGGTTGGGGGGCGCTGCGCCAGAAACAAGCATGCACGTGCAATGATTCCGGAGGAAGCGCTTGTCATGGACCAGCGCTCCACCGTCGCTGCCGGGGGCGCACAGCATCTGCTGACAGCGCTGAATCCCCCGTCCAACTTGTCCACCCCCAGGCATGCCCCTCGTGACAAACCCCTCTGGTGCAGCATGGCACCAGACTCTTTGACTCACGTGACGGTGGTCAGGGCGGCAGCGCTCAGCGTCCCACCCTGGCGCCTGGCGCACTTGGCTGTCTGCCGAGTGCCTCCACCTGGATTGGCAAGAGGGACAATAGGCGTTCTCGTCGGCAGAGACAATTGCAATTAGCCGAGCACTCCTGTGCAAAGTGCAGCAATGGCACCTCCATATACCTGTCCCACAGCCTCGGGATCCTGCATCACTCACCCTTTGACTTGGCCTTCACGGGGTTCTCCAGCAGGATGCTCTTGTCTTGCATTCGGAGGGAGTATGGCGCACTGGAGCGTGCGCCGTTCCCCGACACCAAGCCTCCGACCAGCGCCTCTACAGCAGCTTGTGGATCACGTGCGGGAGGGGGAACCTGCGCAATGAGATACCAATGTTGTAAGGGTTGTCGTTCTAAGATGGAAGGTCTCTCAGACGATGGTAACCCAGGAGACGGGAGTGCAGAGGCTATACTCCGCCTAACAAATAATCTTCTTGTCAGAAGCCTTGCACACACTCATTTCACCCACCTTGAGGACCTCTGCGGCCAGCAAGCCTCGTGGCAGGGCATCGTACACCGGGTGTGGTGGCGCGACAGCTGCAGCTGAGACCAGAGATGGCGATGCTATGCTTTTCACTTCAATTGTGTTGGTCGATGTCTTGGGATTGGACCCCTCGAGCTTGGCTAGACGTCGTTTCTTTGCAGCCGAAGTGCTGCCATCCACCTTGCTCATATTCAAGACTTTCCTTCCTCGTCAGATGCCTCCTTGATTGTGGATAGTCCCATTCTGTACTGCTTGCGGTGCGCCCACACGTCATGGTGGCCTGCTCGTGCCGGACACCTTCCGAGTTGGTATACGCGCGCGGGCGCCCGCACTTTCGGAGTGTGTCTCGGGGCCGGGCCTCTAGGCCCCTACATTCCTCTAAAATGGATTCGGCACCTGCCCCTGGACACACACCATGCTACAATGCTAACACGGCGCGTGGCTGGCCCTGCCCAGCAGGTGGGCCTCGCGATCTGGGCCAGGGCTGCTGGCACCCTGGCCCCTCCCCGGAATACCGAGTTTGCCCTTCTTCAGGACAGCGACCTTGCTGTGTTCGACAGTATCTTGGGATCCGGGGGTGTGATCACCGATCCGCATGAGGTCGATCCGTATAATAGGTGGGGCTGGGAGGTTGGAGTGGGCGTGGGCGTTTTTCGTCGGGTTTTCGGTGGCCCCATCCCTGGCCACCATGCGGCCCGACCGGCCCCCACGCAGCGCGTTCCCATGCCGGCCCTCGCCATGATGATTTTCTTGGTTTCTTATTGTAAATCTAATCCCTCTCCCCACCCCACCCCCCTCGCACCCCCCCCCAAAAAAATCAAAACTAGGGACTGGATGGGAAAATACCGCGGCCGGGGTCGGTGCGTGCTGCGCCCGCGCTCCACGGCCCAGGTCTCGGCCCTGCTGCGCCACTGCTCCGCGCGGCGCCTGGCGGTGGTGCCCCAGGGTGGCAACACGGGGCTGGTGGGCGGCTCCGTGCCCGTGCACGACGAGGTGGTGCTCAGCACAGGCCTCATGACCACGCTGCTAGGGTTTGACCCCGGCTCGGGCGCGCTTACCGCGCAGGCGGGCGCCGTGCTGGCGACCCTGGAGGCCGCGGCACGGGAGCGCGGCCACGCCATGCCCCTGGACCTAGGGGCCAGCGGGTCCTGCGCCATCGGCGGCAACGTGGCCACCAACGCGGGCGGCATCCGCCTGCTGCGCCATGGGCCCCTGCACGGCTCGGTGCTGGGCCTGGAGGTGGTGCTGGCCGGGGGCCAGGTGCTGGACCTGCTCAGCAGCCTGCGCAAGGACAACACGGGGTACGACCTCAAGCAGCTGTTCATCGGCAGCGAGGGCACGCTGGGCGTCATCACCGCCGTCGCCATCCAGTGCCCCGCCGCCAGCCCCGCCACCAGCCTGGCCTACCTGGCAGTGCCCTCCTTCAAAGCAGCGCAGCAGGCACATGGGGTTGAGGGGGGGAACCTGGTCCTCGGTCCTTCCCAAGGGTCGGCGCCCGCAGCTGGGGAAAGGAGGGCGTCACAGGGGTGGCCGACCCGCTCGGCGGTATCTGCCGCCCCACCCCTCCATTCGCGCGTGCGGCATACGACTGCACATGCGATCCCTGCGCAGGTACTGCAAGCGGCCCGCCAGAACCTGGGCGAGCTCCTCTCGGCCTTTGAGTTCCTTGACCGGGAGTCGCTGGAGGTGGCCAAGCAGTTCCTGCCGGGGGCGAGGGATCCGCTCCCCGGCTCGGATGTGAGGCTGTGGGCTCGAGGGAGGGGGGTTCTTATTGGTGCAAGGCATGACCAGCGCCATGGAGAACAACGTTTTCTGCTGCCTCGGCGCCCGTGTGCATCGAAACAGTGCAGGAGCAAGACCAGGCACCCCCTCGTGCCTCACTGATGCCGACTCTCACCAGACCGTAATCCCTTACACGGCGCAGGCACCCTTCTTCCTCGTGGTGGAGATTGCTGGGAGCAGCGAGCAGCACAATGCCGCAATGCTGGAGGCCTTCCTGGAGTCGACCATGGGCGAGGGGCGGGTGCTGGACGGGGTCGTGGCGCAGGACTCCCGCCAGGCTGGCGAGATCTGGGCGCTGCGGGAGGGCATCACGGAAGCCCTCAGGCACCGAGGTGAGGCAAGGGAGGTGGGGTGGAGGGTGTGAGTAGTGTCGGCAATGGGAAGGGGGGGGGGGGCAACCGCTGTTT